AGGGTGGTCTCACGCAGGAAGTGCAGGGCTCTTGTCTGTGGACGGCGAGAGAGGTGACAGTGCCCTTGCACTCAGCACGTATTTACCAGCACTAACTAGTCCCTCTCCCCTAGGACCCACCAACAGACCTCAGTGGGCCAAAGAACGCAGCCCAACCATAGGCCCAGAAGAGCAGGGAGCCTGGTGACAGCCCTGGGGGTGGCAGAGACCATTGATGGCAAAGTGGAAATTAATTTTATTTTATTTGTGTGTCCATCATTATTATTAGTTCATTTTAAAAAAACATATTTTACAGGCCGGGCGCAGTGGCTCACGCCTCTAATCCTAGCACTTTGGGAGGCTGAGGTGGGTGGGTCACCTGAGGTCAGGAGTTCGAGACCAGCCTGGCCAACATGGGAAAACCACATCTCTACTAAAAATACAAAAATCAGCTGGGCGTGGTGGCGCACCCCTGTAATCCCAGCTACTTGAGAGGCTGAAGAAGGAGAGTCGCTTGAACCCGGGAGGTGGAGGTTGCAGTGAGCCAAGGTCGTGCCACTGCACTCCAGCCTGCACCACGGGAGCCAGACTCCATCTAAGAAACAACAACAACAACAACAACAAAACCCGTATGTTCCAAATTGGGACTCTTAAACATCCCCGTGATCTTATTACACTCATCCATCAGCATCCATTTATTCTTCTATGTGCTACACCTTAACTCAGTTCTCAAGTAAAGATGTTCATAAAAGTCTTCCTGATTATTTCAGAAAAAACAGAGAGGTGATTTATTGTGAACCCTGGAATAGTTGACCGCAACAGGACTGCTTGTGTTTCCCCTAAGTGGTTCTCAAGGAGGATTGTGTGCTTCCCTCAGCGTGCCCTTCCCAGGCAGGAAAGACGGGTCTCACGGCCAAAGATGGGAGTCCTTGCCCTGGTGGGGGCTCTCCTAGTCCCTGTGCCGATCCCATCAGTAATTGTTGATGACAGAGGAGAAAACAGGGCTGCAGAGCTGGGGTAGCCTGTCCAGGGTGGAATTTAAACTTGCAGGACGTCAAAGTCACCACACCTTAAGTTTTGGCCTTTGGGTGACTTGGATGAAACCCTGGACCCTCTCTGTGACTGTGATTTGGTGCAAAATGACTGCTTGTTGCCTTGGGAAGAACTGTGGGCTACACCACACCCAGCTCTCATGATGCACAGGTGAGCAGGGGCGCGCCTGGCACACGGCGCTCCAATTCACGGTTCTTAGGTCCCCCTGCCTAGACTTAAACAGAAGTTAGTTACAGCCAGCTCACTTGCTGACTCTTAGTGCTCTGGTGGGGCTAATGGAAAATGTATCTGATCATTAGGAACTGCATTTGGCTGCTAGTCATAGAGAGCTGAAAAATGCTGGCTTAAACAAGGAAGTGGGTTCCTTTTCCATAAGGTCACATGAAGCCTGAAGGTTAGCAGCCAGAGCTGGTGAACTGTCCCCCATCACTGCCCCAGGCCCTCCTGGGGCCCTCCGTCCCACCAGGAAAGAGGAGGCAGGGGCAGGGTCAAAGGGGCCTCCACTGACTCAGCCCCCTTTGATGGAGTTCCCTGAAGCCCTACTTGACAACATCCAAGTCACCCCTGGCTGCAGCTCAGTCCCAGGGCCCCCCCACCTGCAAAGGTGGCTGGGGAAGGATGCACCAACAAAATCAGGGTCTGATACTAAGCAGAAGGGGCTGCAACTAGCAGTTTCTGCCACAGTGATTGTTAAAGTGCTATTATAACTAACTTACCCGCATACCCTGACTCCATTCTCCATTCCCCAGCCACCCACCCTTCGCCCCACTCCCTGTTCCTGCAGAGACTTTGAGGCCTCAGGCCCTGACATGCTGGAAAATGTGGCTCCTTCTAGGGCAGCAGCCTGCTGTTTGCCTCTCAGCGTGTTTCAGGTTTTTCTGAGCGTTGGAGGAGTTTCTGTGTTACTATATCCCCTTTGGGGCTTCCCCAGTGCTTTCCGCCAGAGAAGCCCGCCCATGTTCCAGCCCTGGAGGCGCTATGAAGGAGAAGGGCTCTGGCAGGCTCCCGGACCCAGGCAGGCTCTTTGCAAAGACCCTGCAGGTCTGAGAAATCAGTGGCCCCGGAAGGTGGTGATGGCTCAGCCAGTGACTAGTCATCAGGCCAGTGCTTTCCCAGGTGCAGTGTGGTGGGCGGGAGGAGGCCTGGGTGCCATCTACTGGGGAGTGGGGGGCCTTGACCCTGCACCTGGGCTGCACACCCTCCTCATTCCAGGGCAAAGGTGGACCAGGGTCAGAGCCAATTGACCTTGGCCCCCTGTGCCCAGCCCCTCATACCTGTCCCCGTGCTGTAGCCATCCACCTCACCTGGGGCTCTGTGCCTGCATCCCAAAGATAGCCAAGGAGGTTCTGGTTCAGCCAGGACCATGAAGTTAGAGGGACAGGACCTAGCCCTGCCCCAGGACCTGCCCTCGATGGAGTAAGACACGATGGAGTAAGACACCCACAGAGGAGAGGGGAGAAAGGGGGACTCCTCTCCATTACCTCTAGAGACCAAGGCCAAGAGCCACCTATTGGGCTCAGGGAAGAGGCCCTTCCCAGCCTAATTACCTCCATAATAGGGCATGCACACAATTCGGGGTGCAGAGAGGAAGGTGTGCAATAAAAATAAAGGTTCACTCCTCTATGCCAGCCCTCAGTTCTCCCCAGAGGCAACCAGTGTCTACCACGTCCTTGGGTGTCCTTCGGGATATTTTCCCTGTGCATACACGCGGAGCTCTATAAGGTTTTTTACACACATGGTAACTCAATACACACTGTGCTGCAAGCTGCTTTCAAATAAATGCATTTATTATATCTTGGAGAACATTCCAGTCCTGCACAGTTAGTGCTGCCTGCCTCGTTGACAGGCTGCAGAGGATCGCATTGTTGCATGTGCAGGAATTTTATGACCTCCCTCCTGATAGAGGTTCGGGTTGCTTCCTGTTTGGGGCCATATTCTAAGAGATGCTACAATGCACATCCTTGTTCTGTATCTTTGGGCACTTTTACGAATATTTCAGGACCAAATGCTTAAGTGGAACTGCTGGGTCAGAGGGTATGTGCATTTGAAATTTTGGTAGATAAGGCCAAAATGCCCTCCAAGGGGTAGCCTCCAACTACCCCCTCATTAATCCATCCTACATTCAGCAAAGTGATTTGTAAAGATGACTAAATCATCTAATAATCCTGCTTAAAACTGCCAGGAGCTTCAGCAGTGACCCACACTTGCAATTCTGTGTGCCCAGTCCCCTCCTTCAAGGCTCCAGCCACGCCAGGCTTTCGTGTCCCTCCCACACAGTGGCTTGATCCCACAACAGGGCCTTTGCATGTGCAAGGCCCTTGCACCTAGTGTCCTCAGAGCTCCACGGAATGCCTTCTTCCCATTCCTCAGTCTCACACTGTACCTCCTGGTGCAGGCTGCAGGCCTCCGCAGCCTCAGTTAAATATAACAGCCCTAGGCCAAGCCACCAATTGCCCAACTGGGTGGTCCAGCTGCTCTACTATCTCACGTATTTGTGTGCTCATTGTCAACTCTACCTATGAGGAGTGAGCTCCTAAAAGCAGAGATTCAGCCAGCCCAGGTGGCTCACACCTGTAATCCCAGCTCTTTGGGAGGCTGAGGTAGGTGGATCACCTGAGGTCAGGAGTTCAAGACCAGCCTGGTCAACACGGTGAAACCCCGTCTCTACTAAAAATACAAAAATTAGCTGGGTGTTGTGGTGCAGTGGTGCATGCCTGCAATCCCAGCTACCTGGGAGGCTGAGGCAGGAGAATTGCTTGAACCTGGGAGGTGGAGGTTGCAGTGAGCCGAGATCGCGCCATTGTACTCCAGCCTGGGCGACAGAGCAAGACTCCGTCTCAAAAAACAAAAACAAAGCAAAACAAAAACACACACACACAAAACACAGAAATTCTTGACTGTGTCTCCGGTGACAGTGCCTGACACTTAGTAGGTGTTCAAGAAGGAGATGCACCCTCTGCCAACATGAGGGTGGTAAGTGACACTTTACTGTCGTCGGGACTGTTTCCTTGCTGTTGGGTGAGGTCAAGCATTGATGTTTAACGGTCTGTCTGTTTCTTTGTAATTTGATTGCTGCCCATGCCCTTAACCTGTTTACCTTTCAGGTTTTCTGTTTCTTATTGATATCACGAACTCTCTGTAATGAAGATAAGTCAGGTCTTTGTCTCTCATTTGTATTGCAATTTTTTTTTCTCAGTTGATAGTCTACTTTTAGGCTTTGGACTAATTTTCCATGTAAGTTTCAATTTCATGGAGTCAAGTGCATTAGTCATTTCCTGTATTTTTTTTTTTTTTTGAAGAGTTGGGTCTTGCTCTGTCACCCAGGCTAGAAAGCTGGTGTGATCATAGCTCACTGTAACCTCCAACTCCCGGGCTCAAGGGATCCTCCTGCCTTGGCTCCTGGGTAGCTGGGACTTCAGGCCTATACGATTTCTAACTGTGGCGTGAAGAGATCCCCTCCCCTGGCTCTGTGAGGCCTGGGGCTGGGCTTTTCCAGGAGTAGGAGAGCGTGAGTTTGGTGCCTGATGCCTGCAAAGCAGCCTGGCCTCAGGTGATGCCAAAGCAAAAGCTTGGGACCTGGGGCAGACAGACTCTGGTTTGTATCTGGAGGTTAACTGGGCAGCTGTGGTGCACTGGAATGAAAGGAGAGGGAGAGTGGGACTCCTGAGGCCCTGCTGTGGGATGAGGGTGAGAGAATGGCAGGAAGGTGGACAGGAAGCACAGACCCTCAACCCCCTGGGACTTGGTGCCCAGGCTGGCACAAAAAAAAAAGTAGGGGAACTCGCTTTTTCCAACCTGTGACTGACAGAGCAGTGTCTCCACCCCTGGAAGCTGCTCAGGGGCCACCTGCATGTTGGTACAGTGGGCAAGGAGGGGCTGCCCATTGTCCCCCAACAGCCAGTGGGTCTGGGAGGGACTGAGTCTGTGCTGTGGTCATAAGCACTCGAAAGACAGAGGCCACAGCTTCATTCTTGAAAGAATCTGTTTATTTTGAGATTAAAAGAGTCTCATCCCCCTGCATATCCCGCAAATACTAAATTTGATCTTTTTAATTTTAGAAAAGGGTCAACAAACTTCAGCTGGAGTATGATCTCTCTTTCAAACTCCCATTCTGGTTTAAGACGCCCCAAAGGGTAACCCTTGACAAAAAAGTGGCTATGTTTGCACATGTGTGTGCATATATGTGTGCATGTGTGTAATAGATGCATGTGCATAATTTATACAATGTTTGCTGTTGTATCCATAAACCCCCTGTGGACAATTTTCCTTTTCGTACTCTGCTGTACACGTGTGGAGCGAAAGTTTAGCAAATACATAATTTGGTATAAATCCCATACAATGTGATTTCACAACCAGAAGCCTGACCGCTGAGATATTACTGAATTTTTAAAAGTGATAAACAAGATTTTTATGTGCAAACAAACAGGGCTTGTGCTCCAGCTGCGTCCAAATTTACTTGACAAAGCTATAAACACAAGGCCCTTTCTGAAGTCCTGCTGATTGAGTTTCCCCTTCCTTTTGTCGGTGGAGAGGAATGTAAAGGCTAAGCTGGTGCACTCGCACTATGCGCCTCTGGGCTTTCTGGCTGCGGCGCTTAAAGGAACTCATTCATTCTCCGGATGGGGCAACGCTCCTCACCCAGTGTCCTCCGAGGGCTTTCCCACACGGAGACCTTCCCGAACACAGAGACATCTGATCTTGGCTTGCCCAAGCTGGCCCAGGCCTCAGGGACTCAGGAGCCTGTGGAATGTGCTGAGAGCCTGAGGTCTCCGGCGGGGAAAGGGCAGGGGTTACAGCCCCCCTCCTGCTCTACCTCAACTGCTTCCCAACCGAGGGCCTCTAGTGTAATTCCATCTGAGACCCAGCGATGGCAGGAAGGCCCGGCCCTACTTTGTTTGACCCAGCTCAGAACGGGATCCTCCACCCCTGCTCCTGGAAACTGATGGAGGAGGCCAGCGGAGGCCCTGCCCAGCCTGATACCACTGTCTTCCCTGGGGCTGTGAAATCAGCAGTTGGGGGATGGGGTATTCAGATAACTCTGCTCCGGAGAACCAGAGAACCCTGGAGCCACCGCCAGGCGGGTAACTTCTCAGCACTTCTTAGCAGCAAGGAGTCAAGGAGTTCAGGGGAGAGCTCCATCTGTCTTCTAGGTCCTTGGAGAACTAGAGGCTGATGGCAGAGGGGTCAGGCTGCAGCCTGGGACCAGCCAGCTCTGCATGTGTGACTGTCATTCCACAGGAATTACCTTCTCTTGCGTGTGCAAGCCTCCAGCCGGCCCAGCTCCTCATAGGACTGGTAGAAAATGTCAAACTCCCTGGCACCCCAGCCCCTCCAGACAGCCAGGCACCACTCTGTGTTTTCGTTTTCAAAGCTGCACACAACAGTGTCCTTTGCCACCACAGCAGCATCCACCAGCACCCTGCAGAGAGAAGGGGTCTGAGGAAACTCACAGGGTCCCCACTTGGGTGGGGTTGGGACCCTCACCCTGGCCCTTCTGAGGAAGGCAGAGCTGGCTAAGGGGAGGGGAGTATGTCTGCTTGCCAGCCCTCTCTGGGGTGTGCTCAGATGCACCACTTCTCCCTGGTGGCCCAGCCTGCGGGCTTAGGATTTATAAAGTCCAAACATGGGCTGTGGGCATGAGTTCACTTCCATGGGCTTTGTCTGTAAGAGTCCGACTCCCTGGAAAGCCACAGAAGCAATCAGATCAGGCATCCGTGACTTAACTTCAAAGCGTCCAGAAAACACCAGTGAACCAAATTTCTGCTTGTGAATGGCTCATGACCGAGTTTAACTCAACTCCCTTGCCACTAAGCTCAATGTGATTCTTCTCTCATTCTGTTTCTACACACTTAGGAAATATAGGCTCATATATTAAATGGAAAACCTACTGCCCCAAAGTCATCACTATATACATTTTTTGAAACTGTGGACAGTTCTGCAGGATTGGTGGGTGCGCTACAAGTTTCCTTTTGGGCCGCAGCGCAGCCTCCCTGCCCTGCTGCTGCCCCACCCCGAGCACATACTAACTGCCTTCCTTTCCTCCCTCTGTGCCCCGTGTGTGCAGCCTGCGTGGCACTGAGGTGCTCCTGCAAACTGGGATGTCCAGGGACCTCTGACTCCGCATGGTCTTGCCAGGGCCTCCCCTTAGGCTGACTGCTGGGGCCTCTTTCTCCCTATAGCGAGAAAGAGGTGAAATCTGGCTTGAGGGGATGGATAGGAAAAACAACAACAACTAAACATTAGGACACTAACGGCAGGTATGCCAAGGTCCCAACCTGGGTGCTGCACACCCATTTCCTCCAGAAGGCCAACCTGCAAGCTGGGAACTCCGTCAGTTCAAGGCTTCCAGCCGCAGACTCTGGCAGAGCTCAGGAGCAGATCCAGATCTTGCTTCCAGAACCACTAACAGAGCAAGGGTCACTGGCCCGGGATTCACTGCCAAAGTTCAAAGCTGGCAGGCAAGGGAGTGAGACTGCCATGGATGCCTCCTTGGTCATTGTCCTGCTCTGGGAGAAACAAGCTGACTGGGGTTTCTCCACCCTCTTATGCTCCAGGTGAAATAAAAACCCACTTGCTCAGGGATGGGGGATAACTCACGCTACAGGAAAACAGGCCTAGTGTGAAGTGGAAGAGCTCCAAAGTACACACACACACACACACACACACAAAATTTGAATTGAGGACTTTTCATAAGGGAGATTTACCATGTGGGGCTCGGTAGTCAAAGTGAGGGGTGTAAACACTGTGGGGAGCTGCAGCTGGTACCAGCCTCACATCACTCCAGCCATGTAGACCATGTTCGGGATAGGCCACCCTGCCCAGCATACCCTCGCAGAGGAGACTGGCATAATCCTGGGGGTACCCACCCACAGACAGGTACTGAACCATGCCTCAGCCCAGGAAGGGCAGGAGCTGAGACCCCAGGCTTGGAGATGACAAGGTGTGCCTATGTCATCTGTCCCCATAGGGTGCTGTGTGGGCAGGTGGACACCTCAGGTAGGGTTTCCTGCTTGGCAGGAAGAACAGTGAATCAATCACCTGGATGCATCTGCATGTCAACTGCAGCTGAATTCTGGCCCTAGAAGCATTAGTTAGGTAGGGTACTTGATCTACAGGTGCACTGGGTACTCCAGAAACAGGGAGCCATGGCCAGTGTGGAGCCCCTAGGAGCTGTCTGCGGGGCCCCATCTTATTTCCACTTTGCCTTATAGCCACATTGGTGGATACGCTATGTGGGAGAATGGAAGGGCAGCAAAGCCACTGTGCAAGACCTGGCTGTGGGGCCTTCTGTGCTCATGCTGCTGCCTGGGTCCTAAAGGAGCTGCCACTCAGTCTTACCCATGTGGAGTCAGCTCTCGGGCTTTTAAGACGGCGATCACTCGGCCCCGCTGGGCACCAGAATCCTTCTCCAGGCCAATGACGATAACATCTCCACCGCGCCTAAGCAACCAAAACCCAGAAGGGGAAGCGTTTTTGTCGGTAGCCGTGCTCTCGGGGGAATGAAGCCGGTGTGCAGAAGGGTGCGGGAGGGAGGCAACGGACATGCAGTTTCTGCTAAGGGATTAAGTTATGGGGAGGGGACAGACCCCAAAGCAGAGGAGAATTTTCCCAGTGGAAGCTGAATCACAGTTGATTGTGGCTTTCCTTGTGTGGCACCTTAAGCTCTCTGGCAGGCAATAAGCTTCGGTGCAGCCACTCTTAGACTTGCTAAAGATATCACTCCCATTCCCAATGGAGGGAACCAACCTTCTTGGAAGCACAGCACCTGCTGGGTCCCCACATGACCTTTAAGGAAGCTAGCGGGTCTCCCTGGCTCCCAGGGGGTCTCCTTGCTCTGTGGGCATGCCCTCGATGGTGCCCTCACCTCGGGAAACTCACCTGGGGACCCAAATGAGGTCTCTGACGGCGAGGATCTTCACGGCCTGCAGGTGCTGGCTGAAGGTCTCCCCGTCCATGGGGGTCAGGTCATGCTCAGACCTGTCAGAGGCAGCACTGGGCTCGTGTAGCCTGTCTGAGTCCTCGCAGTCAGGGGAGAAAGGCACGCTGGAAGAACTTGCCGGGGAGCTGGGGAGGCTGGAGGGGGACCTGGCAGCCTGGCGGGGTGGGGATGAGGAGTAGGAGGACATGGAGCAGTAGTCGGTGAGTGACTCCTGGTGGGTCAGGATCTGTGTGCCCAGCTCCTCACTGTACATGATGCTCACGTCCGTGATGGAGTCCCCCTCGGGCACCTTTGGGTTGGCAGTGTGGCTGGCTGCCAGGGGTTCCATGTCCAAGGGCCGCACGGGAAACATGTCCCTGAGGGGGCTGGGGTCCCCACAGAAGTACCGGGCACACAGCTGGTAGGTGGTGGAGTGGTACATCACCAAGGAGTTGGCCTTGTCATCCAGGCACCAGACAACCTCCTCCCCTCTGCCCTCAGAACTGCACACGACCGACGTAACCACGGAAGGGGCCGCGTAGGGCTCCAGCCGCCTGCAGATCTCCAGGGAGGCACAGTCAATGACAAGGAGGCCCGGCCCATTGCTGTACCAGACCTCAGAGCCACTGTTGACCACCTCCATGGCCTTCACTGGGTAGGGGTTCTGCCGTGCGTCTTCGTCTGCGATGCTGAACTTGGACCTGTTGGCTGTGTGTGAGCACAGGTAGGAGCAGCTGTCCTTTGGGGCGCCCCGCACCACGGGAAACACAGCCACAAGCCCATCGGCAAGGCCCGCTAAGACCAGGTAGGAATTCTGCAGGAAGGAGACAGGGATGGGTCACATCCTTCCATTTCACACGTTCCACCAACACGCTTCAGGGCAGCCAAGCTCTTAGAAAGGCTGGGGCTGCTCCTAAGGAAGTGAGCTCTGACTCAGCGGAGCCATGTCTACCATCCCTGCAGCAAAGAAAGGAATATGCCACCGAGAGGCAGGGCCTGTGGCACCAAGTGAGACCGCGTGTCACCTGGACTACATGGGCCGCCTCTGCTTGTGCCAGCTTCTTGCAGGGCGAGCAGCAGGGAGCTGCCTTCTCCTTGAGGCCACCAAGGCCTCCTTCAGAGGCAGGACCTGGTGCCCGCCCTTTTCTGGGTGTGCTTAACGTGACGGCAGTGTGGGCATGGCAAGTGTCTGTGCACTGCCCCCTGCCTGCCACCCCCCTACCAGGTGGAGTGTTCCATAAGGACGGGCTCCCAGCCCAACAGCATCCCCGTGGCACTGGCCTGGCACAGGGAAGGGCTCAGTCTCCTTCATCTTGGTGGCCCTGTGACTCCACCTGGCTCCTGCTCCAGGTGGACATGTGTTTGCTGAACTAATTCTGGAAGAAATTGCTTCCTACTCAACCCTCTCATGGAGGCCTGTCTCAGCCTGCTAAGCCCTCATCCCAGCTTACATCTATCTGAGATGCCTGTGGTTCAGCTGACATTGACAGGGTCCTCAGGGTGCCCCCCACCTTCTCAATGAAGCATGAGCTCTTCTACACCCGCCAGAGGTCACTGGGCAGAGGCCAAAGTTGCAGGGACCATGCTGAATGCTGGGCCCACCCCAGACCACCCCAGGGCACCTCCCAGGGCAGAGCCAGGAATACAGTGCAGCTTCGCAGCCTAGACACCACGTCGGCTGTGGTGGGGGTGGGAAGAGGTCTACAGAACAAAGCTGGAGTCAGGGCAGAGCAGGGAGCTGGGCCTCATGCCAGTGAGGGGGCAGGGCAGAAAGCCTCCTTGTGGGGAGCTGGGGAGCTCAGGAGGCTGGCTGTGCAGGGAAATGGAATGGAGACCCGTAGCTCACTGTCCAGGACAACATGCTGTAAGAAAGCGTATCAAAATCCATCCCCAGGATTTTAGGGAAAGAAGGCAGCCAAGGCAAATAGGCTCCAGGTCTGTATCTGGAGTCCTGGCTCAGGCCCCGGCCAGGGCGGTGAGCACCACGTTCCGGCTGGGTGTGAACGTGCGTGCGCGTGCAAGAATGCAGGCTCTGCCCTGGCGGCCTCGGAGGGGGCAGACACCCTGCACAGGAGGCCCTGCACAGAGCACGCTTTATTCCCTCTGGTCGTGCAGGAGGTGGTGCCCTGGCTGGGGGCTCTGGCCAGCGGTGGCCTCAATAACACTTTGTGTCGTGTTCTCCTGTGCTCTGGTGCGGGCCGGGTCCCAAGCTGCCTAGCCCTGCTGTGGGGCCATGGTCATAAATGACTCTAAGGTTTATTTCATACTTTTTTTTTTTTTTTTAAGAAATGAAACTGAAGAAGGGTGAAGAGAAGAGTTCATGTATTTTGCTTCCATCCAGAAGTAATAATAATGCTCTTTTACCAAGTGCACTGGCCTAGACCTTTGGGTATGCTAGGCCTTCTCTCTGTCTCTTCTTATACCTATTTTGTAGATGGGCAAACTGGAATTGGATGATGACAGTCACCACATTTTAACAAAGCAACACCAGTAAAGGCTTCTTGTGCATTTACCGAGGGTGCCTACTGCACAGACAGGCCCCTCAGGGTGGATGAAACCAGAACTGCCTGAGCCGTGCCTGAATCCTGTGGGCGGAGGAGCCTGGAAAAGCCAGGGAGCTGCCTCCCACTGAGGGGCAGCCTCTCAAAGGAGGGCCCAAGGCCTTTGGTCTTGAGAGCTGAATCGGAGGCGGTCTGGGAAGAGGTGCTGGGATGTGAAGGGCCCAGCACAGAGTCGGGTGCTTTGTGGGGAGGGTGCTGGGGCCGGCAGGGTCTGGAGGACAGCCTCACAGAGGCTGGGGCTAATCCCAAGGTGTAGCACAGCTGGCTGGGCCCTTTACTGGGGAGAGTGCCCCTTGGGGTCTCATTTAGAAAGGCCAGGGCTAGGAAGTTAAAGAGATGAGTCTGCAGGGCCATGCTGGACAAGGAGAAACTGTGTTTGGTGTAGATGGTGAGTACTTGGTGGGAGGCAGAAATGGAGGGAAGAAGATCAGGACCTCCAGGACCTGGTGACCAAGTGGCTGTGGGGTGGCTCTGGCCTGGGCAGGTGGGAAAGAGGCTCCGGATGCCACTGCCTCTGAAGGGGAAGGGCACACACATGACTACTCACTGTGCCATTTGCACCAACAGTCATTCCACCTGAGTCAGGGCATTTGCATGTGAAAGGGGGTTTTCACTCGGCCCTCAGTCTGGCTGAGGACTTAGGTTTTTGCAAACCAGAAGGCACTAATGATGGACCAGATCTGATATCTTTCCTCCCACTGTCTCTAAGGCTGTGTCCTAGGCCAGGTGGTCCTAGAAGGTGTGGCTCTGCAGTCCCCACCCTGACACAGCTTCGGGCTGTTCCCAGCTAGGAGACGCCTCCCAGGCATGGAAGCACATCAGACACCTGCATACCCGCCTTTGCCCTGACCTCACCTTTTTAATAACAGGCACGGCCAAGAAGCAGGTGACGACAGCTGGAGTGTCCAAGGCCCGCTGGGGTGTGTTTAAGGGACACATGCCCTTGAGGGTGTAGATGTAGATTTTCTGGTCCTGCAGAGGCAGACAGGTCCACTGTGAGACCCAGGCTGGAAAGTGTCTGGCATTTCCCGAGGCATTCCCATGAGGATGCACTCAGTCTTGGGGATCCCCTGTGGGTCTTGGAAAGCTACATGGATTGACACGTTCTGGTGGGTTGTTTATGTATTTCTGTTCTTTGTAGAAACGTTGAAAAAGACAGAATAGTCTAAAGAGGAAACAGAAAATAGCCCATAATCTATTCCCCAGAGAAAACCACCATTGGAATTTGGGGCCACAGCCTCTCAGAGGTTCTCTGTGGTATTTGTATGTGCACCTGGTACCGGCAAAGTGGACTCACGCTGCAATGCTATCTTCTCACTGTTCTTTCCATGTGACAGCATGCTGTAGGCAGAGCCCTTGCTCTCACTCATTCTAGCAGGAAATGATGTGGGAGCATCTCTTGGCTGCCTGGGACTGGGGTGCACCTACTTTGGCTAGTGTTGTCAGATGTTTCCTAACACTGAGATTTCCGAGGCTTAAGTGGTAAGCATGCTTTTGAGATTTCTGATACATATGTGAACACACTTCCAAACTGCCCCAAGGAAAAGTTGCACCAATCTATCCCCACACCCACAGCCTCAGAACAATTTTTTTTTTTTGGAGACGGTGTCTCACTCTGTTGCAAGGCTGGAGTGCGATGGTGCGATCTTGGCTCCGTGCAACCTCCACCTCCCGGGTTCAAGCGATTCTCCTGCCTCAGCCTCCTGAGTAGCTGGGAACACTTGTGCACCATCATGCCCAGCTAATTTTTGTATTTTTTAGCGGAGACAGGGTTTCACCATGTTGGCCAGGATGGTCTCAATCTCTTGACCTTGCGATCTGCCTATTTCGGCCTACCCCAAAGTGCTGGGATTACAGATGTGAGCCACTGTGCCCAGCCTGCCTCAGAACATTTGTGTTTGGCCAGTTCTCTCGGGATTTCTCAGAACACCCCTCCTTAGGCCTTCTAGTGACTTCCCTGATTTCCCTGATGTGAAGGCAAGAGGCCTTCGGAGCTGAGTGACTCGGCAGTGTTATGGGAAACCCAGGCATGTCCCTAGCTTCCTGGGTCTCTCCTCCTGCTGAGGGTCTACATCTGGTCCTCATCATCCCAAATCCTGGCCGCCAGCCAGCAGCAGGCAGGGTTGAGCTGCCCTTGGTTACAGGCTGCTACTTCACGGGGTTCATGGCATTACTCTGGGATTGCACGGGGATGCACTAGGGGTTAATCTGAAAGTTCACTTGACCTGGTGTCCTGTATTGTTATGAATGTGGCCCCCACCCAGGGGCTGCACCCAGTGGGCAGTGATTACCTCGGTGGGCAGGCCTATGGGCAGTGCTTACCTCAGTGGCTGTCCACAGGGATCTCTGGACCTGGAGCTGGCAGCTCACCTTCATCCCGGGGCAGCTCATCCTCTGCACCTCCATGAGACCCTTCTCTGTGTTCACCACCGTGTAGTTCCTGTAAGTGGCAGCAACTGTGCGGTCAGTGCCTGGGGGCCAGGGGCTGCCTCCTTTCCCCAGGACTGGCCTGGGCCAGCCGCGAGCCTCATTTACCTCCCCTGCTCCCACCCAGGGTTGCATCCTGCTGCGTTCTGAGAGGGCAGAGCTGGGTTCTGTCTGAAGGGTAATGCTTGACCGTCACCCGCAGGGAGGGCATTCCCCATGGAAGAAAGGCTGTTCTCTTTCTGTGACCCCTGAGGGTTGAGACGGTTGCCCCCAGTAGGAAGGAGGGGCCCTCCCACCAGCCATATCCTTCCCACCCGTGTTACGTGGGGAGCTCCTCACTGCAGAGTAGACAAAGTCAGGGTTAAAGACAAGTTGGGAGAATTCCAAAGGAGATTGGGTTGGGGTGGGGGGCACTCAAAATGTGCTCCCAGCACGAGTGCTCTAAGAACTAATGGCTTGTCGTTTGCGAGAGCCTTGGCTCACCAGGCCGCTGTCCCCGGCATCGCTGCCGCCCCTCGGCCCGTGGCAGGCATCCCGGGCACCCACTGCATGGAAGAGGAGGCTGAAGCTAATGCGACTGGGAAGTTACAAACCCCACATCACATAGCTCTGTCCCTCAAACTCAAGAGAGTACGTTAAGCTCACGAATAGCATTCTCAATATAAAGTTTCTCCTACTACCAAATTTTAAAAAGCTTCACCACTGTTGACTGATAATGTATTTGCAGATGATAGAAATGGTAGAAAATACAACAAACAAAAACTTCCTTCAGGTATATTTGTCTCCTTTTCCCATCATTTTTTTATGCAACAGAAAAACAAAACTAAGATATTCTAATAGCTTTTACTTTGAAAACAGTTAAAAATAGAGAGAGTCATAAAGAATAATTGCCCCTGGGCCCCGCAACTGGAATTGTGTCCTATGTGAATCCTATTTACCTGCTCAGCTGCCCTGCTTCTCTCGCCTCCTTTCCTTCCTTAATTCTCAGACAGATCTCAAGTCCGGCTCCACCCTGCTTGGCTGCCCGTGTGCTCTGGGCCAGCCCCCTCCTCCCTTCCTGTGAGTGAGCCTCTCTTCAGGCCAGCGGTGAGTTTTAAAGAACCTTCACAGGTCACAGGAAGAGGCCTCTCTCTTCCCTCTGGGAAGTCTTCTGAGGCCTGAGCAAAACTGTCTCAGGTACCTGCCACGTGTGTGTCTCTAGGCCAGCAGAGCAGGGTCTGGTCCAGCCTCCCAGGGTCAGTCTGGCTCCAGGTCCTCCAATTCACCCTCAGAAGTGTCTGACGGTGTCCTTGCTTCTAGGGTGGCAGGTGTTCCCGGCGCACTTCCTGCCCCAGACCTGGAGTCTGCCATGATTCTGATGAGCCCTGGTTCACTTTGGTACTTAGACAGCACAGTCTAGGTCCTAGGGGTGCACACTGGCATTTGGTTGGTCCTTGTTTTTAGGCCTTTTCAGTGAGCAGAGCTGAGAAATTTGTGTTTATTTTTTTTCAACCATATCACGAGTGCATCCAGTCAATTCAGAACTGCAGGCTTTTACTTACCCTATTTTACAACTCTTTCTCTTTTAGCCCATGCTGAAAATCACGGTTTCCAGCAACAGCAATATAATTACTCATTAACTTACTCCACAACCACAAGCAGCATCTTAGAATAACAATCACAACAGTACTACCAACAATATAATTACTGAAATCTGTTTAATTAATATGTTTGCTTTTTGTTTTGTCCTTAGAGCACATCCCATCAGGAAGGCATGCTCCATTGCTGTGTTTTAGAATAACTTCTCTTTTTTCTGAGGCAGGGTCTCACTCTGTCACCCAGGCTGGAGTGCAGTGGCACAATCACCACCCACTGCAGAGTCAGACTCCTGGGTTCAAGCAATCCTTCTGCCTCAGCCTCCTGAGTAGCTGGGACTACACGTGCTCGCCACCATTCCCAGCTAATTTTTGTTATGTTTTTATTTATTTATTTATTTTTGTAGAGACAAGGTTTCACCATGTTTCCTAGACTGGTCTCAAACTCCTGAACTCAAATGATCCACCTGCCTCGGCCTCCTAAAGTGCTGGGGTTACAGGCATGAGCCACAAGGCCTGGTCAGAAAAACTTTTCTACAGCATCATTTCTTAGAGTGCATCTGTGTCACAACACTCAGTCCTAATGGCATAAAATCTGATGCAAACTCACGAGGACTGACCTAAGAGAAACTGCAAAGTCTGTTCCATTTATCTTATTATGTCTCAAGCTCAGTGATATTCCCCCACTCTACCCCAGGCACCCTCTGCAAAGGTCATACTCCAGAGACTGTCTTTACTACTGACTGGGTGCCTCCCACCCACCCCATGGCAAGCATGTCTTTTCTGATGGCCACCTCCTACTTTTTCAGCTCACCCCACCTAATACCATAACTCTTGAGGTTTAAAAGAAATTTTTTTTTTAACTCTAGCAATACCTAGGATCCTTTGGTACTTTCCGTTGTGCTCCCTGAATTTATGGCCTCACTTAGGTGCCTTGGTCCATCTCTGTATCACTCCCTTGAAAACACCCCGCCCCTGCCCCTCTCTCCCTCCTGGCAAAACCCCAACTTTGTTTAAACCCACCCTGTTGCCCTTTCTGCAATCTGGGGCAGCAGAACATTCTTGAGAAAGTCACATAACCAGGCTGACAGGTCTCATTTCCTTTTAAAAAATGTTTTTAAATTTTCTAATTTTTTAAAAGATGGGGTCTTGCTATGTCGTTCAGGCTAAACTTGAACTCCTGGGCTCAGGGGATTCTCCTGCCTCAGCCTCTTGAGTGGCTAGGACTGTAGGCACATGCCACAGTGCCCTCATATCCCCAGACACCCTGGCAGATGCTACTCATTTCTGGTGTCTCTTAACCACAAAACCATACATGCACGTCTGTTTGTGTGGACTTTCTTCTGCTCTCCCTGCTCTTTCTTGAGTGCAGTCTAACCAGGTTCTGGACCCTACTGTCTGCTAAATAATTCTCATTGTGGTCAACATGGACTCTGTTCCCAAATTCCACAGTGGCCTCCCACCCCAAATTCAAAGAGGGCAGGGCAGGCCATAGGAGCTTACCTGGACTCCTCTTTTCCGTCCCAAAACACCACGGTGTACTCCTGGCCCTGGGACGAGAAGAAGGCTGTCTGCTTTCCACAGTGCAGCTCATACATGAAGATGGCAAAGGTCGGGTCCTTCATCTGGCTCACAACCGACAGGGCCAGTGGTCGCTGAGGGAGAGGAGCCACCAGAAGGGAGCAAGGTCACTTACAACCAGATTGGTGCCAATTCTGCCCATGAGGTCAGCCAGCTTCAACCAGGGAGAAATGAGGGATTCTGTTCATTCAGATTGGATCCAAACAAGAGGCTAAAACAGCTTCAGACGTCAGGAGCAAACCCATCCAGATATCTGGGTCACCCTTGGCTATGGCAATTTAAACTCATCTGGTCAGGTTAGCTGAACCCCAGGTATTCCAACCCAGGCCAAGGACATACACTCTTCATCTCACTATATTGCCCAAGCTGGAGTGCAGAACCTACTCACAGGTGCGATCATAGTGCACCACAGCCTTGAACTCCTGGGCTCAAGTGATCCTCCTGCCTCAGCCTCCCCAGTGGCTGGGACTATAAGTCCATGTCACCATGCCCAGATAAGGACATGCATTCTTCTAAAGAATATCCTATTTACTCTCAATACATTAAACTAGCTCGTTTGATTTAATAAATGAGCTTTAACCTTGAAACCACTAGCCTCTTCCAAAAACACAAAAACACCACCAACAAAAAACTAGCCTTAACACTATAATATGATCTCTGATTCTCACAACCAAACCTTTTCCCCGTTACTTTAGAAAGAGATACCCACATTCCCTCTGTTCTTGCACAGGGACTGTATTGTTATAAAGGGGTTGATATACTTTGTTTGCATGGTGAAGTAACACAAAAGTTGGGGAGGAAAAGGAAGTTTGTTTCCTAAGAGTGACATGCACACACAAAGAAAATGAAAGTAGATATGTTAGGAGCAGCAAATATCACCCTCTAGAAGAAATGAGCAGAGAAGGGTCGCCAATTGTGACGGGTGGGCAGCCACACACACATACCCTGGGGACCCACAGCTTCTGCCACATGGCAGGAGGTCCCAGGGCCCTGGGCTCTGTGCTCCCAAGTACCTTCTCTGGCTTAGTGTCCCAGCACTCCATCATGAGCGCCTGCAATCGATGGAACTGCACTTCCTCCGGCTGCCCCAGAACTGGGCGGATGCCCTTGGACAGTTTCTTGGCAATCTGGAGCTGGTGGTGGCCCAGTGCAGGTCGCTGTCCTGACAGCAACTCGTAGAGCACCATTCCATAGGAGAACATATCTACCTGGGCACAGAATAAGCCAAGTCAGGTCCCTGCCTGGGCCCAGTGGCCTTCACTAGTTGGCCCTGAGGTTGACAGTTAGACAGGAAAACAAACATTCAACCAACCACCTGACCATGTCCCTCTGTCCATTTATCCATCCATCCTCCCAACTACCCATCCATTCACCCATCTGACAACTTTCTCTTCTATCCATTTATCTCTCCATTTTCTTACCCTTTCTTCTTTCCATCCATCCATCCATCCATCCATCCATCCATCCATCCATCCATCCATCCATTTGCTTGTCTTTCTGTACATTTATCCATTCTTCTCATCTGTCCATCCATCTGACCACCTGTCCTGCACATTTATCCATCTATCTTCCTATCCTTCCTCTTTTCCATCCACCCATCCATCTGACTTCCCACTATATTGTCCATTTGCCCATTGTCCCATCCATCCATCCATCCATCCATCCATCCATCCATCCATCCATCCATCCTTCCGTCCAATAAAACATACTGAGAACTTGCTGTTAGTCACTGATTAAGGACTCCAAGGAGGTCATGGTCCTTATCCGTGAGTAGCAAGACAAGGCAGGAAAACACATACCCTCAGCTTGATGTGCTTGGTACTAAAAGTGCTGTGTATGCAACTCATAAAAAAAGGAGTGTCTCCTGGATCACGACATGTTGCCTTCTCTAATTTTCATAATCATAAAAAGGTCCAGCAAGGAAAATTTATACAGACCCCTATAAGGGTCAAGAAATAATATTTTAGCAGGAGAATGGCTGAGATAGACTTGAGAATTTTAAATGTGAATGTTTCCATGATAATCTGAGTTTCAAGGTGACCTCCTTATTGAAGTCACCTACTATTGTGAAGCTCTTATTTTTGTTGCTTTGATTTGCCTTTTCTATCTTGGGCAGCAACCACAGGTGCTGAGCTAATCCACACATGCACAGGTCATTCCTACAGCAATTAGTCAATGACCATCTGAAAAATCACCAAATAATAAGAAATTACAGACAAGAGAATTTTAATGCTGGGTGATTAATTAACAAGGCTGGCACTAGATGCAATACATGCATGGTAAGATGACTTTAAGTTGTCTGTGGGCCTGCATCTACCAAATAGCCATCAGGGATAAATGTTATCGGAAGATCAATATTTAGTCATTGTCTCAACTGAGGCTGGCAGCACGGTTGCCTGGGGATGCCAGCTTGTCCTTTCACCCTTCTCCTGGTTCGGCATTCAACTTGGCCAGCACCCTGTGACCAGGACTTAAGGACAGGGGTCTTTACCGTCCTTATTCTGTCTGCTCCTCCTGAGTGCCCTGCAAGGCTGGTCCTGTGTCCTCATTGTGCACATCTAAATGTGAGTTGGAGCCCAAATCCAGACGTGTTTCTGTCTTGGACTCTTCATCTGCTGTTTACAGCCTCTACAATGTTTCTGAATCAAGGTTTGAGAACTCTGAGGCTAAGGAGAAGTCAATCTTGCTACAAGCAGACAGACATAGGCCCCTGCTCCCTTCTGGTTCAAGCCAGAACCTCCCTCATGGAGCAAGGGAGAGGGAGAAAAGTGTGCTTTTGGGGATGCTGAGCCCCGAAGCTGCAGGTGCCTCCAGGAATGCCTGGCTAGCCTCAGGGCTGGGCTCCTGCATTGTGGGGCTGGGCCAGGGGATCCAGGCAGGTACCTTCTCATCATACACAATGCGAGGCCTGATCTCTGGGGCCTGGTAGCCAGGAGTGCCCTCCACGCCTAGAGCACCCTCATGGAATGACTGCCTCGAAATCCCGTAGTCAGATAGCTTGATGTTGATGTGCTCCTTGACGTCAAGGGACCACACCAGAATGTTGTCCGACTTCAGGTCGCAGAAGATGATGTTTTTCTTGTGCAGGTAGGCCAGGCCCGAGGCAATCTGGTAGGCTATTTTTTGGGTGAGCATGTGTCCCAGCGGTATGAAGGAAGAATCTTGCAAAGAAAAACAATTTTCAAATGTATCAAAATTTCAGTTTTGATAGAATCAAATTATCATGATAGCAACTGTCTTTTTGTCTTCCTATCTCCCTAGATACTATATATTCTTTTTTTCTTTTTTCTTTTTTTGAGACAGAGTCTCCCTCTGTCACCCAGGCTGGCGTGCAGTGGCACGATCTCAGCTCACTGCAACCTCTGCCTCCAGGGTTCGAGCAATTCTCATGCCTCAGCCTCCCAAGTTGAGTAGCTAGGACTACAGGCACATGCCACCATGCCTGGCTAACTTTTGTATTTTTAGTAGACATGGGGTTTCACCATGTTGGCCAGGCTGGTCTTGAATTCCTGGCTTTAAGTGACCTGCCCGCCTGGGCCTCCCAAAGTGTTGGGATTACACATGTGAGCCACTGCGCCTGGCCCCTAGATACTTTATATTCTATTGACACATTCTCACTATTCACCAGACTGCCAGAAGGGACAGAGAATGACCTGGTTAAGTGAAATAGTATTTAGGATAGAAGTGCTCATCACTATAGCTTCATTCATGATACCTTATTCCTGGAATTGCTGGCAGTTTTGCTGAATGAGCAAGGATTCGAAATCTCTAGAGTTCATCTCAGGTCAAGGCTGTCCTACGTAAAGGGGTGAGTTGCAAGTAGAAGAATTTTGTTTGGCTGGGTGTGGTGGCTCATGCCGGTAATTCCAGCACTTTGGGATGCTAAAGTGGGGGGATCGATTGAGCTCACAGTTCGAGAACAACCTGGGCAACAGGACGAAAGGCCATCTCTACAAAAAACAAAACAACAAATTAGCTGGGTGTGGTGGCATATGCTTGTAGCTACTGGGGAAGTTGAGGTAGGAGGATTGCTTGAGTTCAGAAGGTCAAGGCTGCAGTGAGCTGAGATTGCACCACTGTACTCCAGCCTGGCCAACAAAGCAAGATCCTGTATGAAAAAAATAAAATAAAGAATTTTGTTTAAAAAATTATCTTCCATTGAGGCAGAAGTGATTGATTTTAATAGCATTTCTTCTTCCCTAGTCAAAAGATAACTACCTTTCACCCTCTGGCAACTCTGGAGTTTAGTTGTTCATTTCTCAACTTAAATTACTTTAACGTTTTATTTTAAAATATAGTATGGTCCCACTGACCCTAGGATCTGAGTCTCAGCAGTGGTGTGCATGTGCAGTTAAGAAAGTGATTTAATGCCGCTCATGTGCTTGGTGCCCTTCCAGAGAGGATGTTATCATCCTCCTTTTACAGGCAAATAAACTCAGTAGCATCCTGGACCGCGGCAGAGCCTGGTCTTAGCCAACTCCACAGCGTGCCCTCTGCCGTCCTGGCCAAGGCTCTGCCCAGTGACTGGACCTGGCGAGGTGCCTGGCCTCACACCCAGGGGATGGTCACATGAGCCATGGGTTGGGTGTGCCATGGGCTTGCCAAGGCCACCTGAGGCTCTACCCCCATGCCAGGCAGGAGGCGCCTGGGGCTCTGTTGGTCTCAGGAGCTGGGTGGGGCGGCACACCGTGGTACCTCTGGCATTCTCCGACAGCACGGTGTTGAGGCTGCTGAGCGGCGCGAGCTCCAGGGCGAAGCAGAGCGGGTGGATGCTGATGCCGATAAGCGCCACAATGCAGGGGTGCTGCAGCGCGTGCAGCATGCTGGCCTCCTGCCGGAACTCAGAGAAGTTCTTCATGGCGTCCGTGGCCCGCAGGTGCCTCAGCATGGTGTCTACCATGGAAAGCGCAGTGTCAGCCAGCAGGACACGGGGTACCTGCAGCCTCAGGCCTCTCTAAGGCGGCACAGAGCTTAGACCCGGGCAGCACATGTCTGAGAAAAACAGCACCAACCTGGGACCTGCTTACCTGCTGGGACGTTAGCAAAGTTCTTGAATTTTTTGATGTGGAAGCGCTTGACAGCTACGGGTTGGCCCTGGTACCGGGCCCGGTAGATGACGGTGCCACTGCCACCCTGGCCCAGGACGCTGCCCTCGTCCTCGCTGTGCTCCAGCTTGCTGTTCTCCAGGAAGAGCCTGCCACACACACACGGCATCAGCCACATCACCCCCGCCCTGACGCGGGTGGGTCCTGGGCTGGGTCATTTGTCCCCATGGCCGAGAGTCATGGTTCAAAGCCATCTGTGAGGCTGGACAGATCTGGGCCACCCCGGCCCTGCCACTTGCGGGTGGGCACACCTGGGTGGGTTATGGAGGCTTGCTAAGCCTCAGTCTCCTCTGTAAAGTGGGCTCAGGACCCGAACAGCCTCAGAGGTGGTGATGGCTGGCACAGGGTGAAGTCCACGGAAGTGGTGGCCGTAGAGAAAGGATCCCTTTGGAAGTTTTCTTCTGAAAGGTGACGTTTCCTATTTCCTCCCCAATTCTCTCCCTAGTTATCATCTTGGGTTAGCATAGGTAGAATAAACTCTAAGAACAGATTTGAGGGGTCCAATGCTGAGCACTAGGGTTACAGATAGGAGTCAGCGTTTGACAAAGGAGGTAAACAAGGCTCTGGGTGGGAGCTCTCCCCTTCCTGAATGCCTGAGGAGTGCCGGCTGTGCTTATCTGCTGGCCCAGGAGCTGGTGGGGAGGTAGGACTGGAAAGGAGAGGCAGCTCAGGAGAGAGCAGCTCTGGCTACGAGGGGAAGGGGGAGGCATATGGGGAGGCAGGATGGCTGCACTTGCAAAGCGCTTTTCCCAGCTGGGCCTACCAAGGCCTCCAAAATGGAAAGCCAGCAGCCTGTACCCTTCAGGCAGCCGAGGATGGGAACCTAAAAAGCTACTGAGATTGGTGGGAAGTGATGGCTGGGGCATCTGCCAGCTCCGGAGGGGTCTTCCTGGAGATCACTTGGCAACTGCACAACGAGGAGCGCCCCCTGTAACCTGCACTGTGTTCTGGGAGGGGCCTTCGGGGCATACCTGGCCGGGAAGTCGGTCATGAACAGTTCAGGGACCAGCTCCTGGAGCGGCACGGGGAGGTCCGGGTGTCTGGGGCAGGAGATGAAGTCCCGCTCGATGGCCGTGAGGACGCAGTCCTCCATGTCGAAGTATTGCACACCCTCTGATTTCTCACTGGGGTCTGTGTGCTGGGCCCAGGCTGTCTCGCAGACTGGGCAGGGCACATACTGCTCCATGAGTGGAGTCCCGTCACTCTCTGTGGCCGTCAGGGCTAAATAAGGACAGAGCAAGAGACAGTTTCATAAGAAGGAGGTGCAGGAGGGCCCCTGAGCAGCACTCTGTACCCCAGGCCCTGAGGCCTTCACAGCAGGGGAGTTGCCTGTCCTGGCCTGTACCCGAGAGACAGGCTGAAACCCATTGCCACATTCAGGTGCCTTTTTGGAGAGCGCAATTGTTTGTCCTGAAAGATGCGTCTAGGGAGGGTTCAGGATGCTTCTGAGAACTGCCCAGTGGTCGGGACCCTGAGCAGGCTGGCTGGGGGGCCTGAGAGGAGGGTGGGGATCCCTCCTGCATGACTGGGCCCTAACAGGTCATTACAGACTAGGTCTGAGCTATCCTCCAACAATCACAGCAGTGTGGAAACCACTCTTCCTACAATTAGAAACATCAGGTTTGCAATGTCTGTGAAGGGCAATGCAGGGGGAGAAATGAGTGCAAATTATAACAGACAAAACTGAGTCAGTGGACATGGGTTCCCTCCCACGCCTCTGATAGGAGGTGCAGAGAAACACCCTCCAAGGTGCCCTGTGGAGGTGCCCTCAGGGCAGGCCAACTGCCTGCTTCATGCAGGGTAGGAAGTGGATGCCTAGAACTTTCCAGGCACATCTAATATCTGTAGGTCCATGTGTAAGGCATCCCATTGGGAGGAGCCCCTGGCTGGGGATGCCAGCTCAAGGCAGCCTGTCTCAGGTGCTCACCAGAGCCCTTTCCATCTCAGGTGACTGTCTAAGGGATCCACCTGTCAAACTGCCCAGCACCTCCTGTGGGGGGAACACTGGCTGGTGGGGAGCTACAAAGTGCCCAGAAAGGTTTACATGGGCCTAAGGGGCCCCCTTAGATGGCCAAGTGCCTTACAAATCACCATGACACACACAGCCAACTGCCTTCTCCGAGGGCTCCTTTCTAAGCCTTTTTTCCTTGTAGGTCACCCTTCCTGCCAACAGCGTGAAGGACCCAACCCTGACAGAGACCAGACCCTGGGATCTGGAATGTGTATCCTGAGTGTATGCTGCCACTGCTCCTTAGCCACCTTCCCTGACGCTCTCTGGGATGCAGGCATTGCATGCAGGTGAGGCCGGCCGGGGAGGCCTGGGGACCTGCCGAGGCTTGCAGGGGCGGCACTGGAATTCCAAACCCGCTGTCCAGTCACTTGCTTGGCCTCCAGCGTTCAGGGGCTGAGGCTCTCGGGGCAGCCATTCCCACAGCTGCTTGCCCCATTAAGCCCCAGATGGCCTCCCCCCTGCAGGTTGCTCTGGGAGTTGTCTCCACCGCAGGAGCAAAACAAACAGGGAGCCTCAGCAACTTCAGTCAAAGAGTACTTTTTTGGGGTGAACTATCAATGAAGAAACAGATCCAAAGGGACTGAGAAGGGCTGTGTTAGTGGTTTGATCACCGCCAGGATGGGTGGGGCGGCAGGGAAGGAGAGCAAGGCCCCTTGGTGGCCACAGCTCCCCTCCATCCCTACCCCTGCACAGAGGATAAATTTCCATCTGCCGACTCCCCCCCAGTTTCAGCCACACCGTCCTCACTGTGAAAACAAGACATGTGTGAGCTCACACTGAGCATCTCCGTGGACCATTTGTGGTACCAGTGTCATCTTTCTTGCCATGCCTGTGGGCAGCTGGTAGGCTGCTTCCCTGCACAATCCCAGTGGGGTTCGAGCCCCATCCTCCCCACGGTACTCCCCCCATGACAGAGCTGGACTTCTCGGGGGCCAGGACTCCCACCAAGGGACGGTTAAGACCCCCTAGTTTGCTTGGGCCGAATCCCAGTGGGATTTTTGTCCTCCCCAAAAGAAGCAGCCCCACCCTGATTTATAAATAAATATTAGCATGAACAAGGGCTTGTTTCCAGAATCTTCTCTTACCAGGAAACCACTGATCAATCAAGGAATTGACATGATCTGTGATGAAAGCCATGGCTGAGAAGTCCCTCATTTCTGATTGACAAATGATTTTTATTCCTCCACTTTTCTTCTTTTTCCAGTTCACATCGGAAGATTCCACACTGCAACCCAGAAACCAAAAGGAGCCCATTGCGATCTGGCTCTGGGGGACCCTGGGGTGATATCCCTGCCCCTAGGGATAGGATGCAACCCCTGGGAACCTGGAGAGACTCTGTGCCCTGCAGGACTGATGGGGGACTCCTCCCCGTATGTACGTGTGTGTGGCCCTGCCTTGCTCTTGCCCCGGACTTGGCCTGGTGAAGGAGACACAAGGAAGATTGCCGTCAGGGATGCTCAGTCTGGGAGCTGACCCTCGGGTGAGGCCCTCAGGAAGTCACCGGACCTCCCTGAACCTCAGTGTTCTCATCTGTCCAGCAGCAACCGTGGGCTTTAAGTGAGAACATCTCTGTGGAGGCGGCAGGTCCCAATCAAGCCCTCTGTAAAGTTGCCTCGCTTTTTCCCTTCTTCTCCTCTCACAGAGCTGAAGACTATTTTGCAAAGTTCATTGTAAATATTAAAATAATCTTGGGTGTTTATCATTCGTTAAACCTGCTGAGCTGACTTTAGGTCTACTGCTCTCAAAAAAAAAAAAAAAAAAAAAAAAAAAATAAATGGCACAGGGAGCTGTGTTCCGTGTCTGGTT